GAAAGTGCGATCAGTGGAAGAAAAAAAAAAAAAAAAAAAAACAACTCTTAATACATTTTATTCCTAGAAGGAACTTCTTGAGATTAATAATTTTTTCAATGGATTCAATTTTTTATGTAGGTAATATGGGGAAGCAATACGATTTTACATGAAAATACTAAAGATACATAAAGACTTTTTTTTTTATCTCTCGTGTATTTAAATGGTGTAATGGATAAATTGTCATCTAAATTACACAAAAATGAAAACAACACCAATATCTCGTTTTAACAGATATATTTACCAAAATTACACAAAAATATATTGAAATACTAAAGATTAGATTTATTCAATAAAATCACAATTGGCTTCAACCACAGCCTCTAGACAACTTCAGAATCTTCTGCAGCTGTTATGGGTGGTCTCCTTGTCTAAGTTGGTGAATGCTACCATAATCCTTGCCTTCAGTTCATCTTTCGTATTGCAAGGAGTTTTGTTGATTTCTCTGTCAACTGTGCCCCACACATAATCAGGTTTGCAGTCTAGAAAGTTAGTTGGCCAGGTGTAAGGGGTGATGTGGTCGCAGAAATTTTTTTCGTAACCATGACTTGGTTCTCCAGCTTGTGTCGCATAGTGCAGTGTCCTATTGACAGACATGGGGTCTTCCAGCAGCCACCCTCTTGACCCAGGGCAGCACTATCTGCTCAAGGTACTTGATGTAGGCCTCCATATCTGAAGCCCTCACCAGCAAATTCAGGAGTTCTTTTCTTATCAGAATGAGTTTTCCAAGCTGCTGTGCCTTTGTAATCACCATTAGACTCATCCAACTCTTTCTGAGTCCTCTGCACTGTCTTCAGATTGATGCCCAAACACTCTGAAATGTTTGTATTAGAGCTTCTAGCTTGAATGTCGGGCAGTACAGCATGCCATTTCCAAATTTCTGGCAGAGTGAATTGCAACATGGTGCTCTCTTTCACAGATGGTCCTCGGCTGACCTGACTAAATGCCGACAATTTACCCATCGCACACTGTAGATGCATAACCCAGCTGACCATGTTCAGCTTTCTATCACTTTTGTTTTTATTTTTATTGCTATTCTTTTTAAATATCTCACAATGAATATGCATTAGTCTTGTGAGGGAAGCTATATGTTGTATAATGCTGGATGTAAATTTATCATAGAAGATACTGAAATTAGTGCACTTTGAATATATTTTAGCTTTAATAAATCACTTTCTCTCTTAATTAAAACTGTATTATTTAAGTAAAAATAAGTGTCAGGCATATTACAAGGAATGACTAAGTCATTGAATATATTGCTTTGTCTATAAATCTCTTTTGTGGTTATATAATCTTTTATTTAAATTCCTAGATGTTTAACATTTTGGGGTTATTTTTTCACACAAAGATTAGTCACTGTTGCTTTGGGAACAGACAATGCAGCAATAACACAAAAATATATAAAAGCATGAGAAAAATCTTGGCCAAAATAAGAATATTTCCATCAGTGGACAAAGGAGATATGATGAACAGGAATACCTACAAAAATAAATAAGATTTTAAATTACTACTATATATATATATATATATATAAAGCACAAAAACTAATATTCAATGGTTATAATTTATTACATTGGAATCGTAATTACAATCCAGTTCATCAGACCTACAAATTCAAAAATTTGAATTTGTAGGTCTGATGAATTGGATCGTGATTACGATTCCAATGTAATAAATTATAACCATGGAATATTAGTGTTTGAGCCTTTTATATTATATTCTTACTCTGTCCTGGACATTGAGATCTACCTGGATTCTATCCTCTTGGGATATATATATATATATATATATATATATATATATATATATATATATATATATATATATATATATAGTGAAAGAAAATTTAAGGGATCCGTAAATGAAAATGTGATTGTATAGATTAATACTTCGAATTGAGTTTTATTTTTTTAACAAAATAGCTGATAATTTTAAACTTTTTAGAAAAATTGTGTAGCTATAAATAAAATGCTTCCCAAAAGTTGGATAAATATGACCAGAGTAAAATATTATAAAGTTTCTATCTTCAACTCTAGTCCTTTGTCTGTGATTTATGCATGGATTGGCTTTTAAAAGTTAATGGCAAATGTTTGCACTGTTTTCAGTTTAAATTCCCAAAATCTTTGAGTGATATCTTATGCTACTTTACAAGATAACAATCATGACATGGTTGTTAGTAAATAATAATTATATTGTTGGTTTAATTATTAATTCCATGTTTTACTTATATTTTTATTATTTTCATTTTAGTCATAGTTTAAGTAGCCTGACAGGGGCAGATGAATCTGATGAAGATTCTTTCCATGATGCCAGAGAAAACCCAACTCCAAGTCAGTCAATGATGAACCTGAGCATGCCACCAGATTCTATATATGGACATCACCGAATTGCAAACACAGGAGAAAATATGTATATACACAGTATGTATATATTTGTTTTCTATTTTATTTTGATTCTGTCAACTGAAAGGGAATACAAAATGATACAAGCAAACTTGGTTTTAAAGTTCAAAAGGGCTTCTGTGTCCTTGTTGGAGAAGAATTATTTTGCACTCTCCAACCTCTCTCTCACAGGTGGGATGTGGTGGGCCTCTCATTGCTTTATCATTGCTTCCATGGAAAGTGCTCAGACAAACTAGATTCTTTGGTTCTGTCAGGTCTAACCATCATGGCTAGGACCTGTCATGCCATTTACATTATAGCAAACCACCCACATTCCCTCTGTATTCCATCAGTGAGAAGTTCCACTCAAACAGCTTCTTCCTGTGAACTACTGCTCTGTGGAACAGACTACCAATCTCTACAATCTTAACCTGTTCAAGTCTAGGGTTGATGGTTACCTTCCCCTTCAATCCATATAACATGCCTCTTAACATAACCCTCTACAAGTGGCCCCCAGGCTTTGTAAAGGGTGAATCTAACTGTAAAAAAAAAAAAAATCCTACTTTGTAAACATACAACAGAGCCATAACCTAGCTTTCCACCAACTGGATAGGGATCACTCCTCATTGCATCTCTATTCTTGTTTGTCCAGCCAAGAGCAAACCAGAACTGACTTCCTTGATCCTAACTCTTACTGTTTATATAGAATAGGAATCAGAAGTCATCAAAGTCTAGCTTTTTGTTGCTTGACATCAAAAGCCCTCATCCACTTATTTACTTTACTGTTCCCCTTTGGTCAAGTGGATGCCACTTAGAAGACACAACTTCAAAGATCCTATACACCAGCTGTAAAACAAAATCCATACATTTGCCTTGATAAAGTAGATCAGATAACAAAATGTGTTGGTAAAGGAAAATTTTCCTTTTGCCTTCATACATAGTTTTTTTTTTTTTTTTTTTTTTAACAGATATATTTTATTTATATCTGAATTTTTACACACACGTTTCCTCATGTGAACCTAGGTTGATGGAGATTGTGTATAAGACCTGTCAATAAGTTTCTGACCCAATGCTTTTGGTCATTCTTTGAGCCATTCTCTAGATTTAAGCGTTTGTAATATGGGTCAAGACTTTAATTAGATGCAAAGACCATATTGATAAGTGTTAGCTATTTTTAAACACACACACACACACACACACACACATACGTGTGTGTATATCGATGTATCAGTTTTTATTGGGTATATGTTGCATTTATTAATTTTTTAACAATATCTGTTATTTTGCCCACAACTATTTTTACTTCCAGACACTCTGCTCAATGAAACAAACCGCCCTCCAAGTTGGCCACTCCCTGTTCGAGTTGAACATCAGAAGGTAAAAAGTCTTTTTGAATATGCTAAGATTAAAATGTTTTTTTAAGTTATGAAATTATCACATGCAGTAACAATAAAATTTCTTTAAAATGTTTTGTAAGCTGAACATAAGCACATTAAAGTTTCAAAAACAAGGAATCACAGTAAAATATATAATTTCTCTCTTTCTCTCTCTCTCTCTGTATATATATATATATATAAAAGAATTATTTGAGCTATTATCATTGTTTACTTATCAATGATTAAGCTTTAATTATTTTTATCACATATTGGCTTGATACAATTCTTTTAGGGTTTAAATTTACTTTCAACTTAATTGTCAGAATGAATGCACATAAAAACTTTGTTTATCAGTTGTCTTGTGATTAGATAACATTCAAGCCTTTTTCTATGTAGTCAGTAATAAAAGCATGAAAAAATACAAGAGAAATTGATGAAACATGTTGTTTTTATTCTATAAAGAAGACAGGAAGTTGTGGAGAGCCATGATCGCCAACATCTTGAAGGTTATGCACTGTTTTTCTCTATCCTTCTTGCCTTCAATATGTCCTGTGAGTGTTCAAATTCTCCAAGCCCTCTTTCCTCATGTGCTCTAGACAACAACACTTCCAGATATATGTCCTTTTTGTTTCCATTTTCTCTAAGACTTTGTTGTTGCTCACAAGTTCAATCTACAGTATTCTCAGCATCCTTCTGTAGAATCACATTTCAATTGCCTCAAGTTTCTTCATCTATGAGGAGATTTTCCAGCCTTCATTGCAATATAAGAGGATTGATATGAAACAGTTCAGTACTCTTTTCTTTGTCTCTAATGAAATTTTTCTGTTTTTAATACTTAGTTTTTGGAAGATATCTTTCACTATCCCAATGTTCCTTTGGATTTCATTGTCACACTTTCTCTGTTCTCTGTTAAAACACTCCCCAGATATTTAAATTGTTGTACTTGCTTGATTTTGGAATCTCCAATTTGTAATTTGCATATTGACCTGTTCCTTTTGCTGACAACCATGCATTGTGTCTTCTTGAAATTTCTACTGAACTACTGCAAAGGGTAAAGAGGCCCAGGGTTGCATGCATCTTTTTGCAACAGTCAATGTAACACTAGGCATTTACTCTGTCCCCCCACCAAGACGAGTTCTGACACAAGGTCATTTTTTAAGGTGGGGACCCAAGCACGTACATCCAGGCTAGGAACAGAAATTGCCCGCAGCCCCCGCAACTGTCGGTTGTGCTGGCCTCTGTATGAGCATCAATCCCTCTCTCTGGTGCAAAGAGAGGGTGTGGCCTCGGGCAGCTGTTCTCCAGGGCTGGGCATCTCTCAGTATAATTTTCCTCAGTTGCGACACTATCCTTTGATGGTGTCACCCCTGAGTGCACTCTGCCCGAAGGCAGACACGCAACTGAGAGATGATAAACAGATGTGTTACAAACTACTTGGGAGAGTAATTTACAAGTTGCCACTGTAACATTAAAGAAAATGGCTTACCTCCAGGATGAAAACAGATTTAGACGTGTCTTGCATGTAAACTACCCAAAAGGAAAAATGGCAGCTTCACAAGTCACACATTTAAAACAGATAAATCTCGGATCTTTACTTACACTATTGATATTTGTCCTTTCTTCTTGTTTTCCTTCACTCCCTTCTATAGGAGTTCTTGTTGTTTCTGTTTCTGTGATCAACACTGTCATCTGCATGTCTTATATTGTTAAGATTGCGGCCACCAATAATGAATCCTGATAGGATTTCTCACCGAATTTTCTCACTGTATAGGTTGAATAAGTCTGGTGAGAAGACACATCCTTGTCTTATACCCCTTTCTATATTTGTATATTTACTAAATTTATTTTCAAGTGTATTCAGGTGGTTTGCTCGCAGTATAGGTTCTTTTACAGATATGTTAAGGTTACCTAGCTGCTCCAACAGTTTTTGGTGATGTACTTTATCAAACACTTGTTCATAATCTATTTGCTTATTAGTATTTATTAAAACAAAGAAATGAGATCAAAGAAAATGAATTTAAGAAGTCAAAACAATTTATATTTTTATTGATAAAATAGATTATTAAAACTATTTAATGAACCTACAGGAAATAATTAAAAAATAATTAATTAAAAGAAAAAAAATATTATTTTGAAATTTGAAACATCATGAAATCTACTATAAAAAGGAAAAATTCATAATGCTTTTATTCAGGTTTACTTTATTATAATTAGTACAAAAAACTGCATTTTTCTTTCAGATCTACAGTTTTGTGAAATATTTTAAAAGGGCCATTTATTTTATTAGGTGTGTGCAAAAATTTCCAGAGAAAAAAAAGTATTTGTATTTTTCTAAAAATACTGGATATATTTATATATACCTGGTTATAATTTGCTCAAATCTTGTTCATATTCATTGTGAATAAGTTAAATGATAGTTTTGGAAAAATTGCATAAGGGCCCTGGATATTGATATTTTTAATTTTAATTTTTGTTTTTTGTTTATCCTTGATGGGTGCATTCTGTAATACAAAATTATCTGAATCTTAAAAATGGTTAATATCTGATTTCTTTGTTTAATTCATATACAGCTTGAAAACCCTTTGTCTGAAATTTGTGGGACTGCAAGTGCTTTGGCTTTCAATTTTTTTTTCAGATTTTGGAATACAGGTTATTTAATTTGTATATAGCATCTATAAAATAGAGCAGCTTGGGAATGGAACCCGAGCATAAACATGATATCCCTTTACATCTCATAACATAGCTTATATATATTCCCTGAAGGTAGTTTTATATAAATAACACATACCCTGAAAGTAGTTTTATATAAAATTTAATAGATTTTATGTACATACAAATACATGTAATGATGCTAGACATGTAATGCTCACACAGATTTTTAAGTGGTAAAATTAAGATTTCACATAAAAATAATATTTTGTACTTTCTGTATGTGTACAAAAATAACATGATCACTACTTACAAAAAATATATAAATGCAGGATTTCCTGAATATATTTACTGAGCATGAAACATCTGCTAAGTCATTTACAAATGGAGGTGCTGCTGGGATGATTGCTAACAAAAATACTGGCGCCAATATAGGCTAGGTAGTTGAGTTGGGGAACCCCCACCCAGGACAGATGAGGTCACTTACAACATTTGAACATCACCTACAAACCTTCTAGTGCTTTGTGAAATTTTCCATTTGTGGCAAATCATGTCAGCAGTTGAAAAACTTGGAATTTGGGATAAAGGATATACTCAACCTGTATAATGAAATATCAAGGGAAATAACTTTTATTTTTTTGAATTTCCCAAAAAAAATTTTCTTAAAAGATAAATAAAAAAAATAAAAACATTAATTATAGGTTTATAGTATATCTGTTACTAAATAATAGACCCCCCCCCCAAATAAGATGGTATACATTAATGGGTTAACCCTTTGAACCTGAGCAGCTGGTATATCAATCGATGTGTGAAAGTGTATATACTCAGGTGGCTGGAATAACATCCAGAGTCATGGACAGCAGGAGCCCAGAGTGGGAGATCTGTACTCGTCAGGGTTCAAAGGGTTAATAAAGTTATTTACCAAAATAAAGAATAACTAGTCTTCTATAGCAATTTCTAATGGTAACTCCAACAAAAAGATTGATAACATTATGTAAAGATTTAAGTGGAGTAGAGAATGTATTAAGAAAGTGTCTAGTTTATCATGTGAAAAAGCATGCTTTCTTAACATAAGAAATAATAAAAAAAAAAGTATCATCTAAGGAGTTGACCTTTATATATGGTGCATCAACTTTTTAAGCTGTAAATGGAAGACAACTGAAAGAAGCAGTACATATTCTAGGTTGTAGTAGGCTTAACATAGAAATAAATATGCTATGGTAATCTCTGTCTATAAAAGGCAGGATGTGTGTGTGTGTAACGAATGCACAGCCGCAATTTTTGACGGATTTGCACCAAAATTTACATGCACATGCTCCAAGTTAGCGGGAAGGCCAAAACCGACTTTGCATTTCCCAGCTCCCATCAATAGTGGAAATAATTGATTTTTTCATGCTTCTACGGCAGTTTTCATGTAGTTTGCGGCCATTTTCTTTTGGCCAGAGTGAGAGCTTATGGCTGGCTACCACGAATAGGCAGGAAGATTCTATTGGCCGGCATGAGAGCCAACAGCTGACTGACATGAATGTTAACTAGCATGCAAAAAAAATGGATAGCTGCATTCATCACAAGTGGGAAAAATTTAAATCTGCATGGCCCTTTACTCCAATTGGCTCATTCGCTTGCTTAAACTCAACATTGATTCTGATTCCACAGAACTGGGTTGGGTGTGAAAAAGTATTTGTTAACATTTTTTTTTTCATTCGGTTTTTCCAGTTATGAGTCCTTTTTTAAAGCTGTTCATTTTTTTTATTTCTTTTTTCGTAACAGATTTAATGTTTAGTATAGAGCTTAGAAAAAATTTGCAGTGTGAGGTAGGCAATAAGTAAGGCATGTAGCAACATCAGCACGGCAAAGGGCACTCTTTTAAAGGCAAGGAAGGGCAAAAATATTTTAAGTCAAATGATAGTGATTGTTGTATGAGTCGTATGATTTTTTAATCTAGGACGGGCAATGTCAGGCCATGCTACTAGTCATTAATACAGAAAAATGGTAGCAAGTCTTCAACAGCAGCAGCTGCTGCCTTAGTAGAAAAAAGAAACCTTGAGAAGGGCAGTTAAGTGTGACAAGCAGTAACAGTACTTATCAGTAGGCAGGTTAGGTTTAAGGTACCAAGTTGTTCATTCAGGATTGACCCACAGGATGATAACCTAGTGGATTAAAGCAATGGTTTGTGAATTTGGTGACTTAGTAATTGTGAGTTCAATCTCTAAGCCCCTCGGTGTGTAGAAATGGGGTCAAGCAATAACTGAGCAGTACTAAATAAAAACTAGATTTGGTCTGTGGAACAAGAACAATCTACTTATGTAGATAAAGAGTTCAGTTGAAAAACTTTGTAATATTAACAAAGATTAGGACAATAGTCTGCATGTAAATGTAAATCACAATGTAACAGAACTTTGTCACATGCATCAAATATTAACATTCTTATTTCTCTTTCAGATGTATTGAGTGCATTAACACAACAGCTTCCAATCTATCACAACATGCTTCTGACACTGACAGGAGCTAACTTTTTGAAAGAGCCTTTCAAGCAGGGTCAATGACAAGTGGCTGTTTGAATATACCATGTAGATACCCACATAGCTGTACCCCAAATGTGTATCCTCTATTATGGTCCTAGGGATTGTGACCAATGAGGTTCTTTTCATGCCATTTCATTTCTTCCCACAAGATCAATATCACCTCTGTCAAAGTGCTTGACACTGTGATCTATCCTAGGATCAAGGAAGTAGATTCATATGTTCTAATAGGATTCTGATCCTTCCCACATGGCCTGTGTGATCCCAAAATTGCTGGTTGAGAATTTTCATGATCATGTTACCCCCAAAAGGTGGTCTACTAACTTGCTTGCTATGTATCCTCTGAACAACTAAAACCAAAATGTCATTGAAAGGGAGCCAAACCTTATAATACTAAACACTTGTTGAAATGCACCATTGTGGACATGATGGCCAACATTAACAGAATCACCTGATCTGGACATGCAGTTGTTTCTGAGACTGGATTAAGGCCATCCTCAAGGTTGAGAGCAGTTTTATTGAATAATGTTATGTTTTTTCAGTATTCTACAGGTGTACATATTTTTTTTAAATGTTTTTTTTTTTTATTGAATATCTTTGTTTTTATAATCTGTTCTCAGTTAACATGAGTTGCCTTATATATTTCTTCTCAGAAACTATAATTTATTTAATGACAACTTAGGAAAAACAAATATTTCAATAAAATATATATATATTTTATTTTATTTTTATTTTTATTTTTTTTTAGATTCCTCGTGAAGTTTTGGAGCACCATAGTTTGTCATCAAAGTCTCCCCAGGGCAGTGATTCAGCAGATGAGTTCTCATCAGCACTAACTCCGTACTCTTCTCTTGCCCCAACTACCAACCAAAATATTACAAAGTCCTTATCAACGTCATGTATTCCTGCTGCCACTGCTAATGATGATACCAAAGGTAAATCCCGATTACTTGTTTGTAATGTTTTTTCATGAACTATCCTTGTCTTTGTTTTGTATATAATTTCTGCATAATCAAGGGCTGTTAATTGACAAAAATTAAGTATGAAAGACTTCTTGGCCATATCAAGGTTGACAATAGAAGTAGCAGTTTTCTACTACTGACTGGACAGGTAAAGTGGTTAACAGTTGCTACAGTGCTCACTATCCCACTCTTTTTCTGACAAATATTGAGACATTTTGTCAAGATAGAATTCAATAGGACAAAGCATAGGGAAGAAGGGGATTCATGCCTTTCTCAAGGGCATTAGTGCAGAATGAAAATTATTCAAGTCAAATGAAAGGCTTTAGCAAAAAACTGATATATTTTCAATATACAGTGTAAACAAATTAGGATATACCTAAACAAAATAGAGAAACCCGGATAAGAGAGATTTTCTCTCATCCCAAATTAAACCCATATTTTACCTAAACAAAATAGACCAAACCCGGATATAAGAGAAACCCGGATATAAGAGAGATTTTCTCTGGTCCCAAATTAGAGCCCATACTTACCTAAACAAAATAGACCAAACCCGGATATAAGAGAAACCCGGATATAAGAGAGATTTTTTTCTCTGGTCCCAAATTAGACCAAACCCATACTTACCTAAACAAAAATAGACCAAAACCCGGATATAAACAAGAAACCCGGATATAAGAGAGATTTTCTCTGGTCCCAAATTAGAGCCTGTGTACCTAAACAAAATATATAAATTAGACCAAACCCGGATATAGAGACTTCTTCTCCGGTCCCGACAACTCTCTTATATCCGGGTTACACTGTACCATCATTCACTTCAAAGTGTGGAAGTAATATAGTTGTAAACGCCTTCCTAGTTTTAAGTTTTTCATTTAAATAATTTGAAGTGTAAATGATCTCCACTGACACAAATACTTGGCAATTTGAAATTTAGTTTGCTCAATGTTTTAATGCTAAACTATCACTTTTAAAGTTTTCTTTTTTTTTGCCCGCAAGGGTTGATATGCTGATAAAAGAACCAAACTTTTCTTTTTGATTTGTGTGTAATCTCTGCTCCACTCTTTGTATAAATTCTGAGTGCCATTTAAAGTTTATAGGTAGGTTTCAGTTCCTTAAATTAACAGATAGTCATGACCTGCACTAGAAATGGTAATTGTTTTTAATTTATTTGGCACAAGTAAACAGCTGTTAAGCTGATTTTGTAAATGCTGAGTAACTTTATGATGAAAATATTTAAAGAAAATATTTCAGATATTTGAATTGGATAAATTTAAAGCTCAGAATTATCTAATACTAGCTTAAAAGTTGCCCTATTGGGCAGCATTTAACCTAGCTCCTGCTGAGGTCTCTTGATTAGGCCTTCAGCTTGTTCAGTAGTTTGAGAGTCACTCAGTTTTTGCATATTCTCAGCATTGGAAGTTCTCCTGGCTGCCATTTGAACTGGGTTTTTCTTTGTATGGGACTTTCTTTTCCTTGCTGAAGCCTTGGCTCTTTTGATTGTAATCTTGTCCTCTTCTGGCAGAGATTTCTATTTTGCAAGGCATACTGCTGCCGTATGTGATAGGCAACAATAAACTACAGAAGAACTCAAAATTGATTGCTGCATTTAAGTATTGCATTAATATGTAAGCTTACCTTTTAAAAGTTCAGTGATAATTATTCTGCTGCCACTTAATTTAAAGAAAATTTGATGTGTGTACGTCCTTACTTTCCATATGAACAATTATTTTTATTTCATGGGTGACTTTCGCTGGATTTAGCAATTAATTTTAATTATTCCCAAATTTATTTCCAAGTTATAAAAATTGTTATTGTAGAAAAAAAATCACATTAAAAAATCGCCAAAAACAATCACAGTAATGAAAACTTGAGAATCTAAAATTTCAGGATTGCGGGTTTGAATCTAGCCCAGAATGTTTTTAATTTGCTCATGGAGTCAGCCTGATGGCAAAATGGTATCATATGTTGGGCTACAACCTCTAGAAGTAAAGTTGAAAAAGTGTGACACACTGACAATGACATTCAGATACTTGCAATTCAGCACTACTTAATATCAGTTTACTTCTGTTAATTATGAATGATTGTGATCATTAGAAGAAATACAGTTAGTTTTATATATCTGTCTATATTTCTGAGATGAGGTATTATATACACTATCTACATTATTAGGACTATTGTCCTCATCTTTGTTGCCATATTTATTACAATGTTTCGGCCGTTGTAATAAGGAGTGCCAGAGAAAAGCAATAATAACAATAAAATTGCAATATGAGCTCTGGTAAAAACATGAAATGATAACAGCAAAAATTGCAATATGAGAACTGGTAAAAAATATTTGCTGAAGACATTAGGTTTATAATACCCAGAAATTCATACACAGATGTCCCCAAGGAAAACATGGCACAGTGGATAAAGGCATTAGTTTCCAGTGACAGGACCCAAAGAGTATGAGTTCATTACCTGGTTAAGGTGGTGGAAGACTTGGAGAGGGGAATTAACAGTAGATAACTGAACTAGAACAGTCTACCCAAGTGAGCGAAATAAAGGGTTCAGTTCGACATTCCAACCACCTCAAGAAAGCACTGGAGTGTACAAGTGCTGAAACATTGTAATAATATGGCAACAAAGATGAGGACAATAGTTCGAATAATGTAAGTAGTTTTATAAATATATATATATATATATATATATATATATATATATATTTACAAAAAAAGAAAACCTGATTGCTTAAAACAAAAGGAATTTTCTTTTTTCCAAATGAACTGATGCAGAAACAAGAACAAATGTAGAGAAGAGGCTGGTGATACCCAATCCTCACTGTCCAGCCTTAACATAGTTTATTTTACCCCAAGCGAAGCAATAAAGCCAATAAGATCCAATGGATTACTGAGTATGAAAGAATATGAGAAAAAGAAAAACATTATTAAGGAAAGCGAACAATAAAAGAACATGAATTAAGAAGATAATGATTGACATTACATTTAAATTTCTGAAGATCAAAGTTGACTTGAAAGCAAGAAGCCAGAAGAAATTTCCACAAGAGAAAAGAAACTGTTATCAAACAACTTATGGTTACATCTATTTTAACTGTGGTGGCAAGGTCTTGCCATTTCAATCTAGTACTGTGTTCAGTAAATAAAGTCTAGGTACCAAAGAGGAAAGCTTATCAGAACAATTATCATGTAAATATTTATATAAAACGCACCGAAAATCTACATTACAGAGGTGGGCCAAGATGCCAGGTCAGGATCACTAACATTGCAGATTCTTTGTGGTTTTTTTTTTTTTTTTTCAAGAATCTCTAAATATACAGCAAAAGCATCAAGCCAGATGTCACAGAATACTCAATATATGGACAAATAGTAGATTTATAAATGTGTAAGCTAGATTCTGGCTAGAAAAATTGTCTGACATAATACAATGAATCAACTTTCCTAACAGCAGACCTGGCAGTTGATTCAGTATGTTCCCCCTTCATGTTAGCAGCAAATTTTAGCCTGAGAAGACTCCCGAGAGGATGCTTCTTTGGCAACTATGCTCTTGGTCCTTTTAAATCTAGGGTCAATCAATATCTATCCTACACATCCTCATAATATGCCTCTTAATTCCTTCTTCCCCAGCTTACAGTCATATCAGATTGAAACACTGGTTCTTGTTTGATCACTGAAATTAAGTCTGAGAATACCAGGTGCCGTAATCTTGGAAGTGTGGGTTGTGTAATGGATAACGGCTTGGAATGAGAAAGTGGAGAACCGAGTTTCAATTTCAGTCAGGTACACTTATCCTTCAGAAAGTTATGAATCCACCTCTTCGCCCCTTACCTATTGGTTAATTAGTGGAACTTGTATCAGTAAATCATTATCTGAAAAACAATTTATACAATCTAAAAATATATTCTGGCTTTAAATAACCTGCAGAAGGTTAATCCATAAAAATGAAATCAATCGATCTTCCTATCCCCTATCTCATGACAATCTCACTTGGTAACCCTCTACCTTGAATGCCCCTTGGGCCTTGTATTGGGTGTATTATCTGTAAATAATTAAAAGAAAAATTAATTTCTTGTTATATAGGAATAAAATGTCACTACTGACACTCGAGTTTGAACACAGATCACCAGAGAGCAAACACAGGCAATCCCATTCTGAATAAGTAGATTACGTAATAGTAAAGGAAATGTATATATGGGAATTAGTGTGGTGTCTAATTAATCATCATTTCTATTCTATCCTCTATTACTATACAGATTACTCTTTCTACTCTCTCCTCTATTACTATATGGATTGCTATTCACTATACTGATCACTATTAGGTGGTTACGTTTTGAGGAAGTACTAATTAGTGCAAGTGTTATTCGAAGGCGTCTGACACCAGTATTGTTCAATGTTGTTATAGTTGTATTAGCGATTACAAAGTCTCTACTACAACGAGCATTACAAAAGTGACAAAGAGTATTTGTTGACATCATGAAAGTGTCAACAAGTGTTCGTTGACATCACAACATTTCTATTAATCACATTGACTTGCATCTTTTTTCTTTCTTTTTTTTTAATATTATGAAATGTTTATATTTTTGTGCCTACTTGGTCTCTTCAGAAAGTAATCTTTTCATTATATACTGGGTGCAACAGCAAAATTGTTCAGTTGTTAGGCTAAGCTTTGAACCATTGTATCTTAGAAATGATTAAAGATATATTACTGGAATTCTCCAAGATTTTTATAACACTATTGGACTTTACTTTGAACAATAAGAATGTATTTAGCTCTAAGTTGAAATGATGTTCCCTCTTGCTGTTGTGACCTCCTGATCTAATTTTCCTCTCTACTGTTCCCTCTTTTTTAAACTTATTTACTGTTCTCTTGATGATTCTTGAATGGACTTTGAAGATGACAGTCAGAGTATAAATGTTGGTACCATTACTGAAGGCCTGAATGGTCTTTTTCCTCTCACCATTGCTCAGTTGATAGGACATAGTGGGGTTGACATAAGATGATTTTAACCTGTTTTCTTTCTAGCTGAATAGCTCAAAGGGTTTTTCAGTGATTCTTACAATAAATGGTGTCAAAATGACTAAAATCTTACCTGTAGACCTGGAAAAAAGAAACTCAATTAGTTTAGTGTTTTTTTTTTTTTAGATATTAAACATTTTGTGGGATGGACAATTATCCCATGCTGTTTATAAGATTTGGACAATTTTACTGTTACACACAGTATGTCAATCATTATCTTCCTGATATGAACTTGTTATTTATCTTTTATCACTTTGACTATGGCCAACCAAACTGTCGGGTGCCAATTTGGCTCTACCAGTTACAGCATTTTACTATTTTAGCCATAAAATGCCACCACCCCACTAGCAGAGCAAGCAGGCTCTTACATTATTGCAGGTTATGAATTCATAAACTTCCTTTTCTTAAATTTGTTGCTAACCAAGGCTCCCAGTTTGCCCTGCTATTTAACCCATATCTGGAGTGGAGAATATATGGATACATACCTTTCCCAAGGGTATTTGGGCAAAAGTGAACACAATAGCCATGGCTGGAATTTGAACTTGGCATGATGGTCCCACTTTCTGCATGGATAACTGCTATGCTTGCATGCATATCCAGATTATCTTTTATAGATAACCTTATTAGAAATAGCAAATCTTGAAACAAGAACTTACCAATGATGCTTCTAAAAGGAAGCTAATTTCTTTTTTAGTGTTAACCAAATTTGGTACCCAGTATCTAGGTATGAAGGATGAATTAGTGCACTTGAAACCTCGCATAAATATAGCAGTGGAATTTTCTGAGTGTGAAGTCAGTACTCACAAATTTTCAGAATTTGAAGATTTTCATGATAAATTTTACCTAAGTAGTTGAATTTTCCTCTCTGTATTTTTCTTCTTTATTTACATTATTTACATTTGGACTAATATCTTCATCTTTGTTGTTATTATCACAACGTTTCAGTTATTGTGCCCTCCTGCCTTCTTCAGGTATCTGTCACTCTGGGTCATCTTTAGGGAATTTACACTTCATTTAATCTACAGCAGTAGGTTGTTTTTGTTTTGCTGTCAATGTCTTGTAGATTAAATAGTGGGTATAGTTTGAAATTTCTTAAAGGTTACTCAGCTCACTAGACACTTAAAGAAGGCCAGAGAACACAAAAGGATAAAACCTTGAAATAGTAATAAAAAAGATAAGGACTTTGGTTGAATATAAATAACTCCTTATTCCAGAAATTCAGACAGAAATTAGTTTTATTTTTTTTTTCTTATATTTTTTTATTTTTGTTTCTTTCATTAAAATGGTTGAAATATTTTGCTTTGTTTTTTTTCCTCATGAAGTTAGGCTTAAAATAACAATGTTTTTTAATAAACAAACTCAGAAGCTGAAAAGTATTATATTTGATAACATATAGTACTTTTTTTTTCTCCCTGTGACCCTACCTCCAAATGCTAAAATATCATCTAAAGTCAGTAGCATCAAACCTTGACATCTATAGACTAAAATTATTTTCTTTAATATTTCTGACCAAATTGTTATTACTTAATTGCTTCACATATAACAATGTGTCGTATATGTCATTATAGTTTTAACTGTAATAAACCAATTTTGACCCAGCATCAGCAATAAGGAAATAACTTTAGATAGGTATCCAATCAAATTTCTTAAATATCAAAATACATTTATTTAATGATGCTATTTCAAAAATTATTATGTTAAAGAAAAGTGTATTAATAATAATAATAATGTTACTAAACTATTATTGTTTTTTTTTTTTTTAATCTAATATTTCTTTCTTCTTTTAATCTTTTATATAGGTGCCATGTCTTTGATAAAAAGAAATAACAAGTATGTACATGATTTTGCATTTCTTCTTACAAATAATGTTAACATTTTTATTCTATCAGTTTTGCTTGAATTGAATTATCTTTCTTTTCAGGTGTCAGTTATCTTCTGATGTTTTGATCTTTATTCACTCTCCCTTTTCCCATAATTCCACTTCCTCTCATAGCACATTTCTTGGAGTTTGGCTTTTGGTACCTACCACACTATCCTGATTTTACTCTCTGCATGAGGATGATGATGATGATGATTTCAGAAAAGATCTTTTTGTTGGCTTTATCCCCTTTTTTTTAACCATTATTTTATCCGTGCTTCCTAATGTCCTGCAATTTCAACTGGTGAATTAAAAAGAAGAAAGTTATGTTCAGATTTCACTTTAAGAAAGTTAAACTGATAATTTTCTCATTGAATTTTGATTAGAACTGCCATTATGTGATTTAACTTTTCTTTAGCTTTGCTTAGAAATCTAATTTATGATTTAGGAAAAGGGATAAAAAATCAATAGGTTTAGTTTGGTATTTACAAAAGAATTTGATTTATGAGAATCTATTTAACCAATGACTTCAAACTGTCCAATCACTGATTCTTGTCTGAAACAAGTTTTTCTAAATTATTTTTGTTTTTTTTAGTTTAAATTCTGACAGTTGTAATAAAAATATTTTTTCTTTTTTTTTTGATGACAAAAAGAAATTTTTATTTATATTATTCATATTTGGATTAATCTTTGTTGTCATTATCACAAAGTTTTAGCTGTTCCAGGTATCTTTCAATCCAGGTAAACTTCATGAAAATTTTGAACTAAACACTTTATTCAATCTGCAGAGGTAGATTATTCTTGTTCTGCTGTTTATGTCTAGAGATATCTTGTTCTTATTTAGAATGGACAGAGCAAGCAATAACTGAACAGTTTTGATTATTGTTTGCTCTGTCCATTGAGTCAAGTCTGTATGACACAACCAGCCCAGAGATTGAACTCGCAACTACAATGTCACCAAATTCGCAAACCAGCACTTTAATCTGTTAGCTTTGTTCCTTGAAGGTTTTATAGAATTGAAAGACACCTAAAAAAATGAAATTTCCTGACGTTTGTCTAAATCAGAATGGCTGGAAAATTGTGATAACAACAAAGATGGGGTCATTAGTCCAAATGTGAATAACAACTTCTCATCCTTGAAATTAAGATACTATTTTTATTTTGTTTTTAATCAAAACCCTTTCTTCTGAAGGAAAAAAAAATTCAAAGTACATTTGAACAAAATAAAAATTCAGATTCCTATTATCTAATTTGCATATTATGTATAATAATTAAAAATTCAAATTCTTATCTAATTTGCAGCCAACAAGACATTATTTATTTTATTTTTTTCTAATGAATATCACCTTTGTCATGAAAATATTTTTAAAGCTCCTCTTTTCTTTAGTTACGGAATCATAATATCTCCTGTTCAGCCACCAAAATTATTGATAATTTACTAGAACTAAATTCACTAACTGAATCTTATTTTAAAAGAGTGTTTATAATTTCACTATTCATTTGTTTCAAATGATGTAAATTATGATATTTTTAATTTGAAAAATATTTTTGTTTTTGATTAATATGGACATTTATGCATCTAAAATGTGATTGGAAACAGACAAAGCTGTTTTTAATCTTCATAATGTATAATTTATGTTAGATTTCAATCACTTGAACCTTGTATAGAGCTCTATCATTTCTCCTCATTGGCTCTTTTGTTTCTTTTCTCTGAACTTTGTTATAGTTTTAGAGTTTTTATCATCTCCAAGCAGGTTTTTCATCATTAATAATATTCTAATCCTCAGCTATTCATATAGAATTTAGTGCATCTTGTCTTTGTCTATTTTTACATGAACTACAATAATTTATTAATCTTATTTTTAATTTTTATTAGATGAAGCAGTATACTTGACAATTATTAAATTTTTGACTTAATTTTTTCATCCTAATTTTGCTTGCTTTATCTACATTTAGTAGTATCGAAAAGTCTTGAAAAATCGACAGAGCCTTTTCCAGGGCATGAAAAATCCTGGAAAAATAGCAATAAATCAAAAGCGCTTTGAAAAGTTCTGGAATTTTCTAAATTGGGCTGCCCACACATCCTTTTTCTCAGTTCATGAATAGCAAAATGGCAGATCCTAGTAATCTAGTTACTTCTGTATTTTTTCATATCGTTGAGAAAAAAAAAGGAAGAATATGAAAGCAGGTCTTCTAGCTGCTACCCTCACATGGACTACACATGGCATGCCAAGCAATTTCCAATGGCATGCTGCCGCAAATGACATCACAAAGTCCGAACCAATAACTACTACAATTCAAAGAAGATATTTAGCAGTTTCAAAATTGCTCACTTGTTGGACTCCCATTAATAATAAAAATTTTAAAAACAGTTTATTTCTATTAGTGTGGCTTACATATTATTATATATATATTACTATATAGACCTTGACTTGTATAAATAAATACATATGCTGTTTGTACACCGAATGATTTTAAAACACTGAGTCAGCACATAGTTAAAGATTGCTGACCCCTGGTCTAGATAGCTGAAATGTGTAGCAGTAAGAATTAAAGCATATAATTCAGAATTTGTTGTGACAAGATAAGCAACACAAAGAATGAGTACAAATTTCCTGACAACATTTCAGGATTTGTTCAATGTGACATTTCACAGAATCAATAATCATGAAGGTATCAATTGAGAATTTCATGCTAGAAACCTTGTAATTGAGGAAATAAAAAAAAAAAATGTCTAAAACAGATTCTGAGGCTATGTGCATTAGCAAATTGAATTTTTGATATATATGATTAAAAATTGCCAATATGCAATCAAATATGCATTAAGATCATCAACTATATATCGCCTATTGAAGATGTCACTAAATTATCACTGCTATATTTTTTTTTAATGAAAAAAAAATTAGTGTCAAGGATTTAATGGAGTGGTTGACAATCAGGAGCGTTTTTTGATCTCTACCACCTCTAGACTTCTAACTTTGATTAGGTGATCTGTTTGAATCTCAAAGTTTTAGATGATTTTATGTTATATGGATCTCGCCTAGCTGAAGCAACTTGAAATATTAAAATGAATAGCTTGCTTTTCTTAGTCATTCCAGTTATCATCATAGTACTGGGAACTGTCTTGGAGAAAATTTTGAAACGGCACAGAATACAAAGAAGAGTAGAAGCTAGAGTATTGAGGAGACTTACTATCACTTAATTGCCAGTGTAAACCCCCAGTTATTACTGATGTGAACACTTAATGAGTTGGAAGCATCCAGATGATGGCATTGCTGAAGACAGCTAGAATACGAAGAGGTGTCCTGGAATATTTGGGAGACTTGTTATCATCTTAAATGTAAGTCTGGAAATCCAATCTTGCTCGTCAATTCAAAATCCAACTTTTCCGCATACTTATTGAGCCAATCTTACTCTATGGCTCTGAAACTTGGACTCTCTCAGCAAAACAACAGCGTCGTTTAGATGGATGTTATACACGTCTTTTAAGAAGAGTGCTTAATCTCTCATGGCGAAACCACCCAACTCTAGAAATGATATATGGTGACTTGCCAAGAGTATCAACTTTAGTTTGTAAGAGACGTGTCCAGTTCGCCGGGCATTGTGCACGTGCCACAGATGAACTTGTGTCATCATTTGTACTCTGGAGGCACCCATCATCTGTCAATCGATCACGCAAGTTAACCTTTCCAGATAGGATAAAACGTGACACATTGATCCCTAAGGAAGATCTTTTAGGTGCTATGACAGATAGGGAATACTGGAGAGGTGTAGTGAGTTCAATCTCGGCTGAGGCCACAAGATGATGATGAAATGTAAGTCAGTAGTTGTTATATATGTAAACACTTAATGATTTACAAACATCCAGATGATGGCAATATTGAAAACAGCTTCAATACTAAAAAAATTATTGTCAATTAATCTCCAGTGTAGGCCACCAGTTATTACTGGTGGAGACATTCTAGTGAATAATAATGGCGCGGGGGGAGAAAGGCAGGCTAGCACAAACTAGGGGCTTCCCTAGAATATACTCTGGAATTTTTGAGATCCAGACAGCTCACTCCATTCAATTGGGTTGTTGGAAACAAGATTCTGTAAAGTTTATATATTCCTGTTTCATTGGTCCACAGAGAATAAAGAACCTAAAAAATAATAGAAAAACACCAGGACCTCACCTATGAGTGATGAAAGTTGTGAAACTATAAAATTAGTCATGGTATAATAATTGAACTGAAATGAATTGAAAATTCAAGGAAACACTGGGACTTGTTAAAACTATAGCAGTACTGCTTTAGATAAGAATAAATTTCAGATTTTAGGTGTCTTACCAAGTGATACCAAGTCAAATGACACACGATACAACTGTTTTAAATAATAATGGTAAATATTAAATTATAAATAACAACTATACTAATAAAATAACAATCTATATAAAGAATGCCTTCTCTGTTCGTCACACACTGTCTGCTTGTGACTTAGCATGTGCATATGTATATATGTATGTGTTATGCATGAGTGACTTATATATGCTTGTGCCATTTAATATGTGCACATAAACACACACAGACATTGGAATAATACAATCCCCAGCTCTCTCAGTCTGGACAACCCTTAGCTTGGACTGAGCTGGAAACTAGAAAAAAAAATTTTTTTTCAAAAGCTTGAAAAAATAAGATAAATACAAGATTTTATTGAACTTTTGGGAAATTATTCAGTAATAAATATAATTACTTTTTTTTTTTTTTAAATGTTATACTCTTTTTAATTTTTGTAGAATTTTTTTTAAAGTCTGTCATTGAATTAAAATATACATATGCACATACAAATTTACATACACATACGATTTGAATGAAATGGACATCTGTGCTATGAGGGATAATTTTCCTTTCTGTATGGCAACAGCCCCTGGGTAACAGGAAAATAATATAAGCTGGCCCTTTTGAAGTCATTTTTATGAATTCTTCTGTATTTA